TTCTCTCCTGACATTTCGCCTGCATCTATGGCAAGCATCCTCATCTTAATGAATATCATTATTACTATTATTATCATTATTACTATCATCAATTTCCTTGTCTTAATGTATTGTCAAAGGCTTTCAAGGACATAATCACTGGGTTGTTGTAGGTTTTTCGGGCTATATGGCCATGTTCTAGAAGCATTCTCTCCTGACATTTCGCCTGCATCTATGGCAAGCATCCTCAGAGATTGTGAGATGCTTGCCGTAGATGCAGGCGAAACGTCAGGAGAGAATGCTTCTAGAACATGGCCATATAGCCCGAAAAACCTACAACAACCCAGGAATCTTTCTCCCTGAGAAAAGGGGGGCAGCCTTAGAAATGGCACTCAAATGGGCAGAAGAGCAAGGCAGGCCTGGATACGCTTCTTAAGAAGCCATTGGACTCAATGGGAGTTACCTCCAGTTCATATCCATGAGGGTTGGTTACAAAAATAACAACTCTAGAGGCACTTTCTGTCTGCCTTGAATCTGCTTCGACCAATAAAGCACAGATATCTATATCAAAATGCTACGAAATAGTAACAACAGAAAGAAGCAATACAAAAACAATTTTAAGTTCACACGATCCGTGTTAAAGTGATTCTAGAGTGCCGGTATTCTCATGCAAACAGAAATATATATATATTCCTCATATAGTATGTTTTTAGGCCGTGTTATTCTACTTTTCCTTGCAGTCCCAACTGGGTACTAACTTATTCACATCCTGTAACACACGTGTTTCATGTGTTACAGTATATGAATAATTTAGTACCCAGTTGGGACTGCAAGGAAAAATAGAATAACACGGCCTAAAAACATACTGTATGAGGAATATATATAGTTATGTTTGTATGAGAACATATATAGTTGAATTTGCATGAGAATATCGACACTATATTAGTATATTATTATTATTATTATTATTATTATTATTATCATTCTTACTACTACTATTAGCATCAGTCTACTTTACTATTATCATTATCATCACTATTACTAAAATAATCATGATTTTATATTACTATAATGATATTATTACTACTATCATCAACAATTCATTCTACCATCATCATCATGAATATCATTATTACTATTATTATCATTATTACTATCATCAATTTCCTTAACAATATAATAATACAATAACAACAACAACAATAATAATGGGTTGTAGGTTTTTTTGGGCTATATGGCCATGTTCTAGAGGCATTCTCTCCTGACGTTTCGCCTGCATCTGTGGCAAGCATCCTCACCATCATGAATATCATTACTATTATTATCATTATTACTATCATCAATTTCCTTAACAATATAATAATACGACAACAACAATAATGGGTTGCTGTTGGTTTTTTTGGGCTATATGGCCATGTTCTAGAGGCATCCTCTCCTGACGTTTCGCCTGCATCTGTGGCAAGCATCCTCACCATCATGAATATCATTATTACTATTATTATCATTATTACTATCATCAATTTCCTTAACAATATAATAATACGACAACAACAATAATGGGTTGCTGTTGGTTTTTTTGGGCTATATGGCCATGTTCTAGAGGCATCCTCTCCTGACGTTTCGCCTGCATCTGTGGCAAGCATCATGAATATCATTATTACTATTATTATCATTATTACTATCATCAATTTCCTTAACAATATAATAATACGACAACAACAATGGGTTGCTGTTGGTTTTTTTGGGCTATGTGGCCATGTTCTAGAGGCATCCTCTCCTGACGTTTCGCCTGCATCTATGGCAAGCATCCTCAGAGGTTGTGAGGTCGGTTGGAACTAGGAAAAAGGGTTTATATTTCTGTGGAATGACCAGGGTGGGACAAAGGACTCTTGTCTGCTGGAGCTAGGTGTGAATGTTTCAACTGACCACCTTGATTAGCATTTGATGGCCTGGCAGTGCCTGGGGCAATCTTTTGTTGAGAGGTGATTAGATGTCCCAGATTGTTTCCTCTCTGTTGTTTTGCTGTTGTAATTTTAGAGTTTTTTTAATACTGGTAGCCAGATTTTGTTCATTTTCATGGTTTCCTCCTTTCTGTTGAAATTGTCCACATGCTTGTGGATTTCAATGGCTTCTCTGTGTAGCCTGACATGGTGGTTGTGAGAGTGAAACTATTACCTCACTACCTCTGAGGATGCTTGCCATGGATGCAGGCGAAACGTCAGGGGAGACTGCCTCTAGAACATGGCCATATAGCCCGAAAAAACCTACAACAATCCAGTGATTCCGGCCATGAAAGCCTTCGACAATGCAACAACAACAACAACAGCAACAACTTTATTTGTATACCCGCCTCCCTCTCCCCGAAGGGACTCGGGAGGCTTACATGGGGCCAAGTCCAAACAACAGAGTTAAAACATAGCACCTTAGAGTGCATCACAACAATATAAAACAACATTATAACAAAATATAAACAAGCATCAAAGACAACAGCAATAGCAAAATTCAAGCCTCGATGCGGCCTGGTGCACAACACTTCGGAGGACAGGGCCAATGAGTATTGCCTTAAGGATAAGAGCAATAGAAGAAAGGTCATTCTAATTTTGGATAAAACAGTAGTAAACTGCGTGGTCAAATTTTTGGGTCCTAACTGGGGCCACTTGTCAAGGGAACTGTTTAGCCAAATGCACAGCGGAAAATCCATGTCTTTAGGTCTTTGCGGCCTAAAGACCTGGGTATTATTATTACTATACTTAATAATATAATAAAACTATTATTGTTAATATCATTATTACTATCATCCATTTGCTTAATAACATAATATAATAATATAACTATTATTAGTAGTATCATTATTACTATCATCAATTTACTTAATAATATAATATAATTATATAATGATATAACAAGGAGAAAATGACTCTAGAACATGGCCATATAGTCCGAAAAAACCTACAACAACCCAATGATAGAACTATTATTAATATCATTATACTGTCATCCATTTGCTTAATAATATAAGAATATAACTATTATTATAATAACATTATTACTCTCATCCATTTACTTAATAGTATAATATAATTATATAATGATATAACTATTATTAATATCATTATTACTATCATCCATTTGCTTAATAATATAATATAAGAATATAACTATTATTATTAATATCATTATTACTATCATCCATTTACTTAATAGTATAATATTATTATTGTTAATATCATTATTACTACCATCCATTTGCTTAATAATATAATATAATAACATAACTATTATTAGTAGTATCATTATTACTATCATCCATTTACTTAATAATATAATAAAACTATTATTGGATTATTGTATGTTTTTCGAGCTGTATGACCATGTTCTAGAGGCATTCTCTCCTGACATTTCGCGTGCATCTATGGCAGGCATCCTCAGAGGTTGATGAAGGCGAAACGTCAGGAGAGAATGCCTCTAGAACACGGCCATACAGCCCGAAAAACCTATAACAACCCAGTGATTCAGGCCACGAAAGCCTTCGACAATACATAAAACTATTATTATTATTATTATTATTATTATTATTATTATTATTATTATTACCATCAATTTACTTAATAATATAATAATATAATAAAACTATTATTGGGTTGTTGTAGGTTTTTCGGGCTGTATGACCATGTTCTAGAGGCATTCTCTCCTGACATTTCGCCTGCATTTGTGGCAGGTATCTTCAGAGGTTGATGGAGGTGAAACGTCAGGAGAGAATGCCTCTAGAAAATGGTCATACAGCCCGAAAAACCTATAACAACCCAGTGATTCCGACCATGAAAGCCTTCGAAAATGCATAAAACTATTATTATTAATATCATTATTACTATCATCCATTTACTTAATAATAATCTATATAAATAAAAATGTAATGTTCGTTTGTGGGATTAACATAACTCAAAAACCACTGGACAAATTGACACCAAATTTGGACACAATACACCTATCGGGCCAACGAGTGACCATCACTCATAAAAACACTGAAAAACACAGCAGAAGAGACTTAAAAAGCCAAAAAACAAAAACAAAAAAATGCATGACAACGCATGCACAAAACCACATAAATACACATCTACACAAATACACATCTACACACACACACACACACACAACACACATACACAGACTGGGCCACAGTGTAGAAGAGGCCTAGGACAAGGAGCAATGGATTCAAATTGGAGGAAAAGGGATCCCATCTAAACACTAGTATAATATAATATGATATAACTATTATTAATAATAATAATATCATTATCACTATCCATTTACTTAATAATATAATATTACTATTATTATTAATATCTTTATTCCTAGCATCAATTTACTTAAGAATAATATAATATAATATAATATGATATAACTATTATTATTAATAATAATATCATTATCACTATCCATATTACTATTATTATTAATATCTTTATTCCTAGCATCAATTTACTTAAGAATAATATAATAATATTATGATATAACTATTACTATTATTAATATCATTATCACTACCCATTTACTTAATAATATAATATAATAATATTACTATTATTATTATTATTATCTTTATTACTAGCATCAATTTACTTAAGAATAATATAATAATACTATTATCTTTATCATTACCAATTTACTTGATTATCCTTATGACTACTATCACTATCAATGTACATTATTATATGCACATAGCATCACAACACACATGCACATTCGCTTCAAATGTCTGGGATTCGCCTTGGTGTTGCTGTTGTATTTTTCATCCTCCCTCTCTCCCAATATAAAGACTCAAGGCTGCTAATCTCCCTCACAATTGATTCAGGACTTTGGATAGCTCTATTAAAGTTCGGACTAAAATCCAAGGCCAAGCTGACACTCCCCTTGGCATGGAAGTCTCAGTGATTGGCATGGAGCCGATCTCCGAGGAGACCCGACAGAAGGCTGGCCGGTATTTCGGTTCCTGGGTGATACACGCCGCCCCCACTCCGCACCTGGATCGGGGTCCTGCCGTAGAAATTCACCGCGTTGGGGTCGGTCCCGCTCTCCAGCAGCATCCGCACGGCCTGCACGTCCCCCCGGGCAGCGGCGTTGCCCAGCTGGTGGGCCCAGTAGCCCGGCTCCATGGATGGGCTCGCCTCGCTTTGCCTCCCTTCTCCTCCCCGGTTTCGCTTCGGCTCCCGAATCCGAGACTGGGCTTGCTTTCCCCTCCGCTTGGCTATAAAAGGCTTGCTCGCGGGCGCCCCCTCTCGGTGTCCGGGAGCACGCCCGCGTCTAAGCGGAGAAGGCGCATGCGCAGAATTCTGACAGCTCCCTTGTTGGAGCTTTTACAGAAGCATAGCCTCTTAGCGTTGGAAGCGTCATGCAGTCCAATGGAATCTGCCAGGCAGCAAAACCCAGTAAAGCATTTTAGGACAGATGACAACCCAGTCTCTGTTTAAAACAGAGACATCAGCCATAACTAAGTATTGTCGAAGGCTTTCATGGCCGGAATCACTGGGTTGTTGTAAGTTTTTCGGGCTGTATAATAATAATAATAGTAATAATAGTAATAATAATAATAATAATAATAATAATAATAATAATAATAATAATAATAATAATAACTTTATTTGTACCCCGCTACCATATCTTTCCGAATGTATCTCCCTCTACGTCCCACCCCGGAATTTGAGATAATCTGGGGAGGCCCTGCTCTCGATCCTACTGCTATCACAAGTGAGGTTGGTGGGGACGAGGAGCAGGGCCTTCTCAGTGGTGGCCCCTCACCTGTGGAACTCACTCCCGGGGGAAATTAGGGCATCAGCATCCCTCCTCTCCTTCAGGAGGAAGGTAAAGACGTGGTTGTGGGACCAGGCCTTTGGCCAATCTGAGACCTAGATAAGGACAACCAGATGGATAGGACTGACAGGACTGACAATTGTGGAATTGGAATTTGAACTATGAGATTGCGAACGCTGACCGTCAATGAGGAGGAAATGGTTTGTATTGGTTTTATTGCTTTCATTGGTTTTATGGTTGTAATGCAAGAATTGTTGTTTTCTGTTAATTGATGTTATTTTGTCTTATTGCTGTTATGTGATGCGGGCATCGACTTGTGCCTTGCTTTTGTAAGCCGCCCTGAGTCCCCTTGGGGTGAAAAGGGCGGGGTAGAAGTAACCAAAATAAATAAATAAATAAATAAATAAATAAATCTTCCCAAGGGACTCGGTGCAGCATACATGAGGCCAAGCCCACAGCACATCAATAAACAAAGGCAATAACAAATAATCAATAAATAAAACTCAATAAATAAAACTCAAAAACAAAAAAATACACAATAAGCAATAAACAATAACAATAATAACATACAGCATTTAAAAACCTATGGTCGGGCCAAATGTACTAATTAAAATTTAAAATGCTGAACAAGAACAAGGTAAGGTAAACTGGGATAGGGTTTTCAGAGAAAGATGAGGGTGCGCAGACAATCCTAAATCAATATTAAAGTGTATTTGAGGACATATTGCTAAGAGTTTTCCTTATTCTGGGAAGGCACACTGGAACAACCACGTTTTCAGGCTCCTCCTAAAGACTGCCAGCGTTGGGGTATGTCTGATGTCCTTAGGGAGTAAATTCCAGAGTCGAGGGGCTACCATGTTGGCCATGTTTCTAGTCCAAATCCCCTGCCATGCAGGAAAAGAACAATCAAACCACACTGGGCAGATGGCCATCCAGCCTCTGCTTAAAATTCTTCAAAGAAGGAGTTTCCACCCCCTTCCAAGAAAGTGAATTTCACTATTGAGCAGCTCTTACTTTAAACCAGGATGGAGATCCCTGGTTTAAAGTTAGAGAATTTACTTCTGTCTTCAATGGCTGTTGTCATTACAGTGATGGAGTTTTCTCTCCTGACGTTTCGCCTGCATCTATGACTTCCCCTCACATATTTATACATGGGCATCATGTCTTCTCTCAGGCTTCTCCTCTTCAGGTTAAACATGTCCAGATCTTTAAGCCGGTCCTCATAATCTGGATTTTATATGAGAATGCAGAAGAGGCCTAGGACAAGGAGCAATGGATTCAAATTGCAGGAAAAGAGATCCCACCTAAACACTTCCTAATGGTGAAGGGTTATGGCTGATGTTGGGTTGTAAGTTTTTCAGGCTGTATGGCCATGTTCCAGAAGCATTCTCTCCTGACGTTTCACTTGTATCTATGGCAGGCATCCTCAGAGATAGTGAGGTCTGTTGGAAATGAGGGAAATGAGGTTCCTATGGAATGCCCAGGATGGGAGAAAGAAGTCTTTTGGAGGGAAGTGTGAATGTCTCAATTGGCCACCTTGGTTTATTTATTTATTTTCCATATTTATAAACAGCCCCTCAGGCCCGGAGCCAGGATTTTGATTCAGGGATGGGGGTGGGGATGGGGAGCAGGAGTGAGGATCCACCCTAGCAAACCGTTTGTATCGTTACCAATACCCCATGCATATGGGATATATTGAGCATGGTGATCAGATCATGATATGAATAAACATAACAGTTTAAATAATGTACCAGTAAGGCCTTCTCGCAGACCACCATGAGAATTTGGGGGGGGGGCTGAAGCCCCCCCCCCCCGGCTACATGCCTGCCACCCCTCTCAACCCGGAGGCGACTCGAGGCGGTTTACAGTCGGCAGTCAATGCCCCCAAACAACATAAATACAGTTAAAAACATATAATATAAACCATATAAAAGCAATACATATAGTATAAACCATATAAAAGCAATAAAACAATAAAAACCATTAAGCACAAGTCCTCAGCGTCTCATCACTAAAATCATTTTTCCGTCACATCATCCAATCATTCTGTGGATCTAAATTAGTCTGTTACACAGTGTCTGCAAATCAAATGGTTGGCATTTGATGACCTAGCAGTTTTCAAGGTGTGGCTTCTTACAAGAAACAACCAGGGACATCTAATCGCCTCTCAACAAAGCAATGTTAAAACTCAATCAAAATAATATTTGACAAAACCAATTGGCATGACCAGGCTATAAAGGGCCAGGCATGGGTATCCCTAGGTTCCTTAATAATATTTTGTTCTCTGCACTTCATCCAATACCCAGGGTATCATAGAGCTGGGTATTGGATGAAGTGTGGAGAACAAAGTATTATTAAGGAACCCAGGGACTGGGCATTTATAATTAGGGACTAGGTGTTCTCAAATGCAAGCTGAAACATCTAGGTTTTCATATCCCAGCGAAAAGAGGAAATGCTATATGACTGTACTTTCAGTATGATCCCATGCACATTGAATCAGAATACCACATTATTGTTACTATTATTATTTTACTGATACAAAAACACAGTTATGTCACAGCAAACAAGATCTATATGCTGGATTTTGAATCAGAAAATCACAAGTTGAACACTCCCCAAGCGTCTAGGACTGTGTGATGTATTTTTAATTATGCGCACAGATCCAAGTAAGGTGGCCTTTTGCAGTTGACAGATTGTGATTTTGTCAATGTTTATTGTTTCCAAATGCCAGCTGAGATCTTTTGGCTTGGCACCCAGTGTGCCGATGACGACTGGGACCACCTGTACTGGTTTATGCCGGAACCTTTGCAGTTCTATGTTGAGGTCTTGATAATGGCTGAGTTTTTCCTGTTGTTTTTCCTCAATGTGACTGTCACCTGGTATGGCAACATCAATAATCCAAACTTTTTTCTTTTCCACAACCGTGATATCTGGTGCATTGTGTCCCAAAACTTTGTCAGTTTGGATTCGAAAGTCCCACAGTATTTTTGCGTGTTTATTTTCCACCACCTTTGCAGGTTTATGATCCCGCCAGTTCTTTACTACTGGCAGGTGGTGCTTGTGACATAATTTACAATGAATCATTTGGGTCACAGAGTTTTGCCTCTGTTTGTAGTCCGTCTGTGAGATTTTCTTGCAGCAGCTGAGGATATGATCCATGGTTTCATCAGCTTCCTTGCACAGTCTGCATTTTAGGTCATCAGCTGATTTTTCAATCTCGATCCTGCCTTGCTCCCCATTTGGAACTTATGGTGACTTGGGTCAGGCTTTAGCACAGCAGGTTGACCACCAGCTGCAATCAATATTGCCAATCGAAAGGTTGGCAGTTCAAAGCCTGGGTCGGGGGGGGGGGGAGTGCGCCTGACCTTCAGATCAGCTCACTGCCCACCTAGCAGATTGAAAACAGCAAGTGAGTAGATAAATATGTATCGCATAAAGAAGGGAGGTATTTTAAAGGCACCATAAGGATGGAGTGACAGCAATCCCCCAATGTCCGCAATCAAGCAAACCTCCAAGATGCTGAAGATGGAAAAAGCCTATATACTTCTGTCTGTGTACTGTGTCTGTCCTGTCAGTGTATAATGGCATCAAATATTTGCCCCATATGTGTTCTATGATCTGCCCTGAGTCCCCTTTGGGGTGAGAAGGGTGGAATATAAATACTGCAAATAAATAAATAAATAAATAAATAAATAAATAAATAAATAAATAAATATGTTAAAGGAAACCTAGTTAAAAATGAAAAACACACAAAAGTGAAAAAAGCAATTAATTCATTATGAAAAACAGAAATCCGGGCAACAGTAAGTCAAAGTCTAACACATTGTAAAGGCCCCATTTCCTCTTTAAAAATATTATAGGTCTGTAGAAAGATATAAAGAGGGTGGAGTTCTAGTCTAGGCTTATATGGAAATCAATTTCCAGACCACCCAGGAGGCCTTCTCCTATGTTCCCACTAAATGCACCTCTGGGGGGAGAGATATCAAAACATGGGCAGGTGTGTAACATAGAGCTGGTCTTGTTTAGGACCGTATCATATACTTTTTAAAATCAATTTTCACAGGGATGTATTTTCAAACAGGGGCAACTGGTGGGTAGATGGCCAGTCGAGTTGCATATGCATTGTAAATTAATGCAGTTTGACACCACTTTAACTGCCATACTAAATGCTATGGAATCCTGAGAGTTGTAGTTTTTAGGTGTCTCTGTCAAATAGTCCTGGTGTCTCACCAACCTATAACTCCCATGGGTCAATAGCATTGAGTCATAGCAGTTAGACTGCAAACTGCGCCAATTCGACAGTTAAGTCTTCAAATTGCTCTGGATTTTCCTATAAATTCTAAAAGTGCTATCCAAGGTGCTGAACCTCTTTGGGGAATACGAATCAATTTCTT